TTGTGGGACAGAAATAGCAAATGTAATCTGACTAGAGTTGTCTTCTGGAGAAAAGAGCATGGAGAAGGGAAAATGCTTGCTTTTGATATTTTATACCAGCAGCCACTTCAATAGAGTGCTATTTATGAGCTTTTATAAGAAAATGAAGTACAGTTGATATTTACTACTTAAAGGCAAAGCTGATTTTAAAACTGGCTTGATCATAGAAATAAATCTTTTGGACTGTTCCCACTTGTACAAATTGTATCTAAAAGGTACTCCTCTGTTGCATGTTTCACATGCAGACAGGTGACAAAGGAAAATTTTAAATAAAACAGTGGTCTCTTACAGGAATGAAAATGATATGAATCATATGCTGTGACCTTTGCAGTCACCAGGTCTCAGCCCAGTTGAACACCTATGGGAGATGTTGGACAGCGTCTCCACCACCATCATCAAAACACCAAATGAGGGAATATCTTTTGGAAGAATGGTTTTCATCCCTCCAGTAGAGTTCAGAGATTTATACAGAGCCTTGTAGAGTCACTACCAAGGTGCACTGGAGCTGTTCTGGTGGCACGTGATGGCCCAGCACCTCACTGAGACACTTTATGTTGGTTTGTCCTTTCACTTGTCACCTGTCTATGCTGAGAGAGAGGCTTCTAGCAAAATGTGAGGGTGTGATTGCCCTTTAAATAGTTGTTTATAATTATTACTTATATTTTTTAATGTGTCATTCTGCCCATTCATCCATTTCCTGGTTGTGTTGAATAAATAATAATTATTGGTGGTTATCGTTATAAACAGCTGGAAAGAATTGACAAAAATGTGATGCAGGTTAATAAATGCATGCACTTAATATCTTTCATACTTTGAGCAATATTATTGAATTGCATTCTATTTGGGATTAAAGTTTATTTTGGTGACTCCTGCAGAATTCCTGACTCCCTGCATGTTAGTGACATGTGGTGTCAGTAAAATTCTGAGTTTGGTGTACAAGAGGTACAGGACAGATTCCAGTTAATGTAGCTTTCTCAGCTGAAACAGAAAACTAAGTAAATATACTGCACAGAAAAGTGGCTGTAAAACACCGGCACAGTAAAATGTTTATAATGTTTCTGATTGCTCTTGAACCTTTAACATATTATTTCTCTGGAACTGTTCAGCAAGCATCTGTGGTTTGCCTGCATGTTGCCAAGCTGGAAGAATCAGATTTGATTTGAGTGAGTCACTGTGAGAATAAAAAGTCATTTCCCCCTCTTGATTTTTGTGTTTGAGCCCTAAGACTTCTGAGCTCCTTGCTCTTAATCTGTTCCTCATGTCAGCCTCACTCAGCTGCCCCTTGCCTGTTTTCTGTTTACAGACAGGCAACCACACAAAAAACACACCTGTCTTTTGCCTGGTCAGCTGTCAGCAGAGTGTAGGGCAGTGAGATCAGGTGACAGTGTGTGTTTTTTTGCTGACATGTAAGATGCCAGCTGAAGATTGGTGTTTGTTAAAGCTTTGTAATAGAGCATGTGGTTTGTGAGCTGAGAATGGATAACCACTGTTAGTAAAAACTTGCTGTGTGTATTTATTTTACAGATAAATATGCTGAGTTTGACCTGAATGACCAAGGAGAGATTGGTGAGTAATCAGCAGCACTAAAACACCAACTGTACCCCAGATGACAACTGTTAGCTGACCCCTGTGTAGTGACGACGTGTGTGTGTGTGTGTTGAACAGGCTCAGGTGTAATGTTTGTGTTCTGTATGTAAAGTGAGCCCATAATGTACACTGGTGTATGAAGCAGATGTGAGGCAAACAGTTTGAGAGTCAGACAGCAGACATTTCTCGTGTCTGCAGGTCATGAAAGAAGAAAAAAAGTCAGTCTGTTGTTCTACCACCTTGATCCAGACTGAAATGTGTACAGGATGAATTGCCATGAAAATTGGTACCACAGATGCATTAAGGAGAACCGTGTACAAAATGACAAGATGGCACCCATTTTGATTACTCTGAAAGTTGCTCAGTGGTGCATACACTGACAAAAATGCTGAGGCTTCTGTCACAATTAAGTTTTTCATTTACCCAGTGAAATATCTAACATTTACTAGACTGACTGCCAAGCGGTGATGTTCCCCACAGGATGAAATGTAATAACTTTGGTGATCCTTTAATTTTTCATCCAGCACCATCAAACGTTTAAATGTTTGTGTAGTTTGCTTCCATTCCCATCAGCCTCAGCTCTACTCTGTGTATAGTATTAAAATGTAGGACGCTAAGATGTATGCTAACATATGGCATCAAACCCCACACCTTCAGTGTGTAACACAGACTTTAAGTTAAAAGGCCCAAACTAAGGAAAATATCCCTGTGTATCTAGATAATGTTGCAGTTTTATGTTTGGGAGATGTAGTGATTTAGACACAAAAATGATTCACGTGTTCATCCATATTATGGATATGACAGTCAGCTGTACCCTTTCTCAGATCTGATGGGTCTCAAGCGGATGATGGAGAAGCTGGGTGTGCCCAAAACCCACTTGGAGCTGAAAAAAATGATCATCGAGGTGACGGGCGGCGACAGCAGCAACACTATCAACTACAGGGACTTTGTCAAGATGATGCTGGGCAAGCGTTCAGCTGTGCTCAAACTGTAAGTAAACCTCTGACTCTGCCTGTGTATGGAGAATGTAGACTATAAAATAAATCTTTTTGTACATACATGATGAGTTAGTTGTGTCTACAAGCCATCTGCTGGTTCACCGTGTGTGTGTGTGTGTGTGCACATTAACATGTCGCAGAGGGAGGATATGAATCATGACAGTCTCAGCCAGTTGTTTCCTCCATCAGCAGGAGGGTTTTAGGATGACAGGCGATGATGTCACAACCCACATGCTGCAGTACTTGTTAATCACCATTGTGACAAAACCCATCTACTGTATGTAGCCTATAGTCACCTCATGCTTATCCTTATCTGGGATCATGTACTTAGGTAACTGATTATAGGCTGACAGTCACGAAGGGCTGACAAAAACACCGAAACTCATCAGATTCTCTGAACAATATTTGTCTTTTCTAATAGGAATGTTTTGGCACACTTTTTTTTCCAGTGATCCCATTGCATATTTCGTGTTATTGTGAAATGGCTTTGTGTAGCCAGTGAAAGCCATTTAAAGCAGCCTTGCTCTGGATTAGACTGCAGGAGACACAGTGTATTTGATAACGTGTGTCAGCCCTGTTCAACTAAGCAGGCCGGACACTTTAGTAGACAAATCTCATAACCCCAACAACACCAAGCAGAGGAAATTCATAACTTTTGCATCTTTGACCTCATCCATTTTTTGAAAGTGGATCCCATAATCCCACAACCACTATTTATAAGAGTCTCATTCTCTCCCTGCCTCACTCATCCTTTTGGCAGCATTCTAGTAAGGTTTCTAAGGAGGTAAGTATTCATTGTAGTCCAGAGAACGCTGATGTTTTAATTGTTTTCACCAGGGCAGTGGTGCAGCCTGATTTTGTTTTGGGCATGGCAGATCACCAAGTTTAAACATCTCTTGATAGAGTTAAAATCTGGATCAATATTTTTCTGAGGGATTTTGTCCCCTCTTGTGATATTCTGAGCTTCACTGTGTCCCCTACTCCTCTGATAACTGCAGATGTCTACAACACTTCTGTTGTGTGCAGTTGGTTTTGTCTCTAGAGAGAAGAGAGGGGAGGAAGAGGTCGAGCTTTAGAATCATGTTATTCAAAGCTTTTGGCAGGAAAACAGTTGATTTAGTTGCAATTAGAGAAAAATGATTGAGGTCAGGCTCCACAGTTTGTCTTAGTCTGTGCAAGCTTTAGGAATAAAGTCACCATTAGTGCAAATCACAAGTGCAGAAGCAGTCATTAGTTTAGGTTTTAATGACAGATTGGTTAACAAGTACAAACAGTTATGAGGTGTTGACTACAAAACGGTTGTTTTTTGGCTTTACACATAACAAAATTACACTTTTTGCATGAAACAATATAAAATATGAGTATGTGTTAAATTAGATTACCACAGGGGTCTTAGTACATACACCCCTAATCCCCCTGCGGGCATGTGCATGTATCTGTGTATCTTTGTCCAACTTTCACACAGTAACAAGATTAAGTGAGTTTATCTATTCAATGTATCTGTTTACAGCAGCTCCTCTGCCTGTATAGAGCAGAACAACCTGACTTGACAGTTTCCTGAATTCATAAATAGTGTGCATTGCTTTTAATTAATGGAAAATTACAAATATTTAATTCATACATATACACTACATGTGGGTTCATCATTAAATGTCACTGATTGATGGCTGTCAGTGGTGACCTGACAGACTTCAGGATGTGTCAGTAGTGTGAAGACAGAGGCTGCCAGGGAGCTGTGCCTGAGTCTGAGATGCTGAGTGTCAGTTTCATTGCTGGGATCATTGCTCCTTATGGGCTTAGTGGAGCTTTGCAGAGTTTTCCAAAAAAGGAAGTTAAAGACAGGCATTCGCTCCGAATAGCTCCTGTTAGATCCTTCACCCTACTGCGTACAAGACTGAACCACTATTCCCCTCAGTCCCTTTGTGGTTTTCTTTCATTCCACTTACTGCTCAGCTGCCCAGTGACTACTTGTATCCTCCAGGAGTTGACCATCCCTCACTCACACATACAGCTTTTATCACTTCTCTTTTACACTCTTCCAACCCTCTGTCTTCTAAAATTACATTTTATTTTCATTATGCCTCGTTCTGCCCGTATGGAGCTGCAGGAATCAATCCAAGTCTTATTGTCTCTGCATGTTGGCATTCCTTTAAACTTGAACCATTAGTGGATTAACAGATTAGTCTACTGACAGAAAATTAACTATTTTGATAACTGATTGTCTATGTAACACAAATACCAAAACCTAGTTCCAGTTTTCTCAATGTCTTTGTCTTGTGTGATAATAATTGGGTCATTTGGGGGGTTGGGGGTCATATTTCTCCTGACATTTTATAGACTGAATGATTATTAAGTTAATTGAGAGAATAATGAGAGCAGTTGAAAGGGAATGTTGGTTATAGCCCTGTTTTCAGTTAAACACACACAATCACACACAACAGCCAATGCATTATGTATCAAATCTATACTGCCATGTGATTTTTTTTCTTTTTATATATGATATGATTTCTGTCTTCATAGAGTTTTGATCTTTGAAGACAAAGCCAGTGGCTCTCCCTGCAAGAAGCCAGAAGGACCCCCTCCAAAGAGGGACATTACCAGCCTGCCCTAAGTGTAGTTGTGAGCCTCCAGACTGCTGGTGGAGCAGAGGGAGCTTTAGCGGTTGTGTGGAATTGAATCATATTCATAACATGGAGTGGCATGTTGGAATGGGACCAGCAATTGAGACTGTTTTTGTGAATATACGGTCTGTGTGTAAAGTGTCTGTTATTTGGAAGACTGAGCCCACATCTCACTAAATGACGTTTGACTGTGAATATTATTATTCATCTTTTTTTCCCTCAATTAAAATGTAGCTTTGACAGTTGTACATGTAATCTCCTTGATAAATACAATTTTGTACTAAATGTTTTATGGTTATATTTTAAGGGAAGAGTCCTTTTTTCCTTTTTATTGATCCTACAGTAGTTCCATTTTTAGGGCCCATTCATTTTATAAGAGTAGGGTGCTTTTGGAAAAGGATGAGGCAAAGCGGAAGCATTTCCGGCACATCTTGTACTGTCCTCAGTGGTCTTGTGTGGATTCCTGCCAGGCTAATCTTGATCAGGTGCCAGAGTTTACAGGGCTGGCCCTTCTCTGGGTCAAAGCCCTTAAAGCTGAAATACTGATCTAGCATCCTAGCATCAGTAAGCAGGTGTTGATCTGAAGAACAGTTTTGTGAGTGTACTGTGTTTTGACTATTCACTCATACCAGTTTAGCAAGGAATAAGAGATCATGATGACAATTGATGGCTTGAAGAATACGAAATTTGACTCAGTTTTAGATCTGTAAGCTTAAGCATATGTTAATTTTGGAAGGAGTGTGATTTACAGCCACACAAGAAGAACAAATGTATATAAAATACAACACAGTACAATCATTCTTTCCAAGTGCCTCAACATATAGATACAGTAGAGCTTAAAGACACTGATTGAAAAGGGAGGGAGTGCACATGTGTGTTCAGTTCAAGCAGTCTTCTTATTGAGTTCATGAAAGTGTTTTTTGATATTTGTGTTTAATATTGGTTTGCATAACATTTTGAAAGAGTGAATTTGACAAGCTTTGTGTGTGGGTGTGTGTGTATGGTTTCCCTTTTCATACCATTATTTTATGTCACTAGATTATTTAACCTGTTTATTGGGTGATTTATCTGCTTTGATTATCCAGTGTTTGTCTTGTAATTCATGTGTTATTAATTTAGCTTAGTTGTGGTTTTGTCCTTCTCCACTTTTTCCATCCCTGTTTGTTGAACTGGGCTCATTGTCCTGTGAATTCTGTGATTTGTGCCTCAGTGTTTGTCTCTTCCTGTAACTCACACTATTTACTGTGAAATTGGTACTCATAGTTTTAACAATCATGTTTTAAACAATTGTTTTTGTTCTGAGACTGAAAGGTACATTGCATCTCTTAATGTTGTTAAGATGCAAATTGTTTGCAGACACCAAAGGAATAAACATTCTTAAACTGGCCTGTAAAGTTTTAAAAAGTTTATTGCAGTAATAGAGATCTCTGTTGAACATTTTAACATTTTTGTTTGGGTGGAAAAAATGGCAGGTTTAACAAGTTTCTAAAGATTAGAAAAGTAGTTTAGCTGTGGTTGAATATAGGTTTTTCTTTCACTAGTTAACACTAGTGTGTGTTGAACACATTTTCACTATTATGCTGAGATGACACCCAGAGATTACTGTAGATGCAGTAGTTAGTTGCTACATAACAATATGCCATCCATCAAGCTAGGAAGCTTTCAATAAATAGTCCATAGTCAGTTACAATGACATAAGAGCACAGTGCAACACAAATTGACCTTTCAGTGCTGATACGTGTGATGGTAGAATCTATGCATTATCAGCGTTGCTGCTGAGCAAATCTCAAACTCAGTTCTGCGTGTTTATCTTCTGGTTCTTTCACTTATAAAGCTAACCTGTGTGGGAATCTTTGGCTGTAACAACTAGTTGAGTGTTTTCTTTACATATTTGTTCTTATTACATTCAATGTTCATGTTGCATAATGTATGTGGAGCTGTATACATACATACTCTTGAGCAATAAAATATTTTCATGAATAAGTAAATAGATGCTAGTGCAAACAATCCTTTAAATGGGCTTGGATTGTGTCTTGTTTTTTTTTTATATGTATATATAAAAGTAATCAAGAGAGCAGTGGCATGGGTGTGGAACACTGTAGAGAATGGTAAGACTTCAACAAGCATGCTAATCACCCAATCCAGTAGGATTAAAATAAGCACTTCTCTAATTAAGATGATGATCACTGTTGCATTAATAAACTGCCAGGGGCCTTTCTACAGTAGGCACAGTGGAGGAATGAATAGTTAGCCCCAGCATTATCATGTAAGGAAAATTAAAACATCTAACCAACGAAGACACTGACCCTGGGGCACATGTTAGGTTCAATTCTGTCTACTGTGCGCTATAGAGTTAGGAACTTATTTTACTTCTCTCTGCAATGTTCCTTACATCTCATTCTCCTCCTTCTCCATCCGTTTTTTCTGTATGTCACGACTCAGTGTGTTCATCAGACAGCATGTACACTGCTTGGTCCAATGGGTATCATTCTGCATGATAAGTAGTGATGGTTGGCCAAACATGGAAACAGGGAATGTAAGACCTCAGTGCACTCTAGAGCAGGGCATCAACCTCCTCAGTTTTCTGCTCTCTTGTATAGACACTGCCATCTACTGGACACTCAAAGTCAAGACGTGGATGAGATTTTTCACTAGTAATAAGAAAGTGGCACAAAACTAAAGCTGAAGCACTACTGTAAATGGATAAATGAAAAGTGAAGAAGCACTTTTTCTCCGTTAGTAACTCAAACTACTTGAATTTGATCATCAGGATGATTTTTTTTAAATAGAAAATGTAACACCTTATCTTCTGTGGACTGGTGGGGATGTAAAAGACCAGAGTGTTAAAATCTAGTTTGAGCTGTGAGTCTTCATTAAAATCAGCATCATCAGACAATGACAATACAGTTACCACTGAAGCTCAAGCAACAGCAAAGTTCTACAAATTTAACAGGCTCATTTACAAACCGTAGATAAAAGTGTACAATCTGTTCAAAATAATATAATATACAGTATGTTGTTTGAGAAGGATTGTGAGGATTATTAAGGGTTATAATTATTTTCAACAAGTGGTGTAAAAATATAAAAGCATGTCACAATCTAATATAAGCTACATTGTTTAGTGGTGGGTCACTGATTTTTCCACATGGATTTAGTTTACTTGTGAAAAGGACTTTTGTTCAGCCTGTGAAAACACCTATAGAGAATATAAGATCCATTTAGCTGATGCAGACAGTAGCTGCACTTAACTTATCAGTCACTGTATTTGTAGCGGGTGAATTAGTTAAATCATCTGCCTACTGGGGAAACCACACACCACAGCATGTTAAATGACTCATTTAACCTTCCACCTAATTCTTATAGTTAATGCAAAAAAGTATTGTAACAGGATAGGAAATGGTACCTATAGTTTCTATATGCTCACAAACCATGGTTTCACTGTCAACAAGCTGTCATCTCACCTTGAATAACACATTCACACCTAACAGGAGGAACCACAATGCACAAGATAAAGTTACACCTACAGGATCCACAATCGGCCACAAGATGGCGCCACTGAGACGACTATTGTTGACCACATCGGTAGGTATTTGATTATAGCTGTGCTATTCAAATGTGTACAGCCAACAAGAAGAAATCACAAGCAGATATTGACCATTATTCCTCAAATGTCCACCTAATAAATAAGAACAGAAACAGAACTAAACTAAACCTGGCTAAGTTTACAGTACTGAAATTCCTAAGGGTCCCAATGTCAGCTGGGATAGGCTCCAGTCCCACCGTGACCCTATTCAGGAATAAGCAGTATAGATAATGGATGGAAATTCCTAAGGCTGTCTTGTGCTCTACAATGGTGAAACTATGCATAAAACTTTTCATTTAATCACTAGCTTTACATTCTTAAAGTACATATAGAGAGCAGAATTTACATGCAGGGCAAACAGAGACACAAGCATATACCAAGTGGTTTAACGGACAAGGACTTTTGGAACTAACTGTTAGTTCCTACAAGACAGCTCAAGGGAGTCATGGTAACTGTAGGCCAGACCATTCTTTCTTTCATAATCACTCGGTGAGTGAGAGAAATATATTTGTTCAGCCTGTACTCTGAGTTTTACTTTGGTTTTGAAACAAATTGTTTAGGACATTAAGTTACTTTAGCTTGTGCTTTTTTTTTATTGATTGATTGATTTTATTCTTTCAAGCATGTAAAGACAGTCGATATGTCAACACACATAATTTCACACATATCCACAAATGCTAATCCATAATCAATTTGCTTATACCTAGTACATGCTTGAACGGAGTAGGAAGAAGTTAGACTTATCTAGTCCTACCCCATGACATCATCTTACCATCATTGGTTTGCAAGCAGTATCTCTACATAGATAATTTTGTTCTACACCCCGCAAGTAATATACTAAAGAATTATTACATAGTGTTAACATTCTTACACCACACCCACAATGTTCCACCTAATTAATCATTAAACCTGCTGCCCTATGCTTATGCCGTACCACATGACTCTTGTGTTTATATTTATTGCACTGTTTTTGTGAATAATGAATGTATTTTGTTAAATTTGCTCATTTGCTACTGGCATTCTATTCAAATTCTTTGTTCACCATGCTAGTGTTTTGTCTTACTTTTGTTTCTTGTTAATTACTCCATTTATATTTATTTTACGTTTTCCCTCTGTTCACTTTGTGCTCTTATATTCAAACAAATATGCATCCAATAATATTCATAAAGAAACAAAAGTTGATGATCACATCTTGGTGTAGAAGTTTACTGAGAGCATTTGAAGGCATCATTCTACGTCACCAACGCTTTTGACGAATCGCGCAGAAAGCCGGGGCGCCTCCCACTCTCCGTACAGCTCAGACCAGCTAGTATAGACGCATACGGTGGAGTTCGGTCCATCTCTGCCCGCAGCTAGCTAATCCCGCTGCAAGGCCACTGCGGGAAGATGGCGACTGAAAAACCAAAACATGAAGGAAGAGTTAAAATTGGACATTACATTCTCGGAGACACACTCGGAGTGGGGACGTTTGGAAAGGTTAAAGGTATGTCTCAGGGTCCTGACGTTTGTATGTTCTGCTAAATGAAAGATGGAAACAACGGGAGCTTTCAGCTTAGTTGCTAATTTAGCCTCCTCTGAAAGCTAATGTTAACCTGTCGCAATGCCAGGAAAATAGCACACTTGTTGTGCGGCTAGTTAGCTGAACTTGTTTTTGATTCATTTGACGTTTTGGGGGATTTTGCTGTAGTCATTAGTAACAGCTTTACAATGAAAAGTATTATTAACGTTACGTTAGTTGCTATTTAGCCGCATGTTTCAGTTAACGTCGGTTGCGGGGCGAGCTAACCTAACCATTGAGCCACAAGTCGCTTGTCAAGGTACACACCGGGAAGTAGCCGTTAAATCCTCTTGACTGGTGTTCGCGCTTTATGCTGATCTGTCTCTCTTTTCATTCTCATATTTTTAACACAATATGTGATAGTTTGCAGCTAGGAACTGAATTTGGTGTCAACTATGTTGTCCTTATGAGTGTATTTGCTCCCCGATTGAACAGAATGTAATAATGCTGTTGTTGTTCGGAGGAAGTTGGGCAAACCCAGCCGAATCGACGCCCAGTGTTGTCAGTTCAAGGGGCGGTACGAGTAATATGTTGAAATACAGCCTTGCTTGTATTAACACGTATTGAGCTAAAATACCAGAAAACGTTCATATGCATTTGTTCACATTTCCTTTTCAGTTGTGCACACAATCGATAGGCTAGTTAAAAAGGCATCACATTTCCTTTTCAGTTGTGCACACATTACCAATCGATAGGATAGTTAAAAAGGCTAAATTCTTCCATGTTGCTTTCTGTTCCACCATAGTCTTTTTTTTCCTCCCAGGTACAGGTGATTGTCCTAATATGTTCAAATGAAGTGAGCCAACCATAGATTGGCTGCAAAACAGTCTGAACATCCAGTAACTGTGATTCATCTCTGTGACCTCAGGTTTTTGTTGTTGAAAGGAAATGGACCACAGTGCAATGTAGGTTTTGCTCTGTGATTATGGTCCGGATCACTGGAGACGGGGTTAATGGTTTACTACCAGTACTACTGGTAAATCAATAGCAACTGTTTACAGCTGTGTACAAGCATGCTGTCTTCCCACCATCCCTTCATTGGTCAAGTTTTTCCCTCCATGGTTGATTTTTTTTTGTTTGTTTTTTATCAGATACGTGGCTTATGTTTGCATTCTTTTCTCCATGCTGCCGCTGTTGCATATCGCTGTTGTCTGAAATTGAAATTATGGTGGATCTTTGGGGTAGGTAAATCTCAGACCCTTTGTGTTGGCAAGCCAATGGATATACCACATCCAAACAAGTTGTTTGGATGGTGTTTTGCATTAAGTTAATAGCCTTTGGTCATACAGCCAAAGACATATTACAGGTTTTACTAGGGATGTCCTGATCAAGTGTTTTGGCCCTGATGTCGACCTGATCCTTTAACACTGGATATCTGCTGGTACCGAGTCTGATATAATACCTTTGCGTACTTAAATGTTGACTAAATGTGTCTGACACATTGAAACAGCTGTAGCTTATTTAATAAAATAATGTATTTCTCACACGCTACTACTTCCAAACACCAAAGGTCCAAATGAAAAATTATTAGTGCATGGCGTAAAATGTTGATATATTTTATTAAACATAACTGGAAGAATGTGACTCCTGAAATTGATGTGATGTGATCTGCTAGAGAGAAGACATTTTGCTCTGTTGGAGTTGTTTAAACTAGAGAAACACTCAGTGTGTTCTGTTTGTACATCAGTGTTACAGAGTGGGGCTTCTTACTGCAGAAATGATTTCTGGAGTACAAACATTGGCTTGCTTTAACCCATCAACAGACAAGTTTAATTTTGATTTGCCACAGATTGACTGCCATTAAGGAGAGTAGCATTGTTCAGTAAAGAGTATTACAAGAGTATTTTAATCAGCTTTATTTTAGCTAATACATATCCATTCAATTATTCTTGGATTGGCACTGATGTACAGATATTTAGAATCAACTCAAGACTTCTCTAGATTTTGCCACAGCTTATAAACAGGATTTTATTACACTTAAAGCAGGAGAGCCAAATATTTCCCTAAGGAGTTGGTGGAAAGCAAGTACCAACTAAAAAAAAGAGAGCAAATATTAGACTCATTAATTGGATGGACGGTAACACAGCTCTAAATGTTGTGTGTGTCTGCTGGATGTCTAAAGAACAACTGTTTGCAGACAAATCTGTTAACTTTTAAACATGACAGTGTTTCCTAAAAATCTCATAATATGTGTTTAAAACGTATCTGTCTTAGTTCCTTAAAAGGCATTTTCAAAAACGAATTGTTTCCTCCTCTACACAGCGACAGTAATACAGCAGTATCTTCTAATATTGCCTCAATACTAAGTGGTATTACTCCTGTGCTCTCGTCTTGTCTATCCTGCAGTGGGCCAACATGAGCTGACTAAACACCAAGTGGCAGTGAAGATCTTGAACAGGCAGAAGATCCGCAGTTTGGATGTGGTGGGAAAGATCCGCAGGGAGATCCAAAACCTTAAGCTTTTCAGGCACCCTCACATAATTAAACTGTAAGTCTTAGATTGCACCCTTCTTGCTGCTTCATAATCCCCCTGCTGCCACGTTAATGCCACCCACTGAGCTATTTCAAGACTTTAATGGTGTGTTTTAGAATATATCAATCTAGGACAATATCTGCCTGATCCCAGCTCCTCTCCCATTAGCCCTCTGCTCAGGCTGCATTATTGACTGTTTTGTTTATCCCATGCGCTGGCCTTTAATTTTAGTGTACAAAATTGCTTTGTCATTGTCTTAGCTTATGACCTCTCCTCCCTAAATTCAGCAGTCACTTAATGTGTTTTCAAATGGGTCTGTGCATTTCTGCAGAAAAGGACTGTGACTACCAATCCAAATATATTTTTGTTACAGCCAGCTGTTTATGGCATTGCTGAAAACATCTGCACATGTTGATTCAGATAAGTAGCTGTGACACCAGTTACATGAGGCCATCTTAGGATGCCGTTGTTGATTTATTGCACAGGTACATCAAGCAGTAATGGCTAATGGCTTGAAGTAAAAACTCTATTTGCTAACACAAAACGCTGTGGTGGTACACTGTTGCTGGAAAAAGTCACTAATCTAAAAAAATACAGTCAGAAAATTGCAGAGGTACTTCCTGCCACAGGCTGCAAGGTCACAGTTAATAGGTGTAGCTAAGTGCCTGAAATACCAGCTCCATGTCATGCATGCACAAGAATATAAACTTTGTTTTGTCTGTGTGAGATGGAGCAAGGGCAGGAGATACTTTATTATTGTTTTAAACAATCATTTAGTTGTGAACCAGTAACTTGATACTCTCTACAGCCAACGCAGTGTTACATTTTCACTTCATCATGGCACCAGATGTTTTTAATCATCATATGCTTGCTTTAGTAAGACATGGAGAACAAGCATTTACCTAGGATGTTTAATAGCACACCTTGTTTTTCCTTTGTACAAATGCTGAAATAATAACTCACAATTACCTATATTTGAGTTGCATAAAATCAGCTACTTGTGTGAGGCTCACATGATCTAAATATTGTTAATTCTTGCAGGTATCAGGTTATTAGCACCCCAACAGATATCTTCATGGTGATGGAGTATGTCTCAGGGGGAGAGCTCTTTGACTACATCTGCAAAAATGGCAAGGTAATGCACTGTGATACTGGAAAATGTCTTGTAGTCGGCTTTAAGGATATACCATGTTTTCCTTCACTCTTTTTGTCTTGTCATATGTAGCAGATTTTGTATGTTTCATAATCATATGAGGGGATCAGAAGACAGGTGTGCATTATGTGCTTGGTGTTACTGCCAGTCTTTGGTGCAGATACAGGAGGCTTTGAACTGTGTGAGCTAAAAGACACAAAACAGTAGCTAAAAGCTATCAAAACCCAACACTGTCTGCTGCTTAGTCAGCTGTGGTGTGCTAACTGAGTCACGGAGAAGATCACACCTAATGTGTCATTTCTGCTTTGACAGTTGGATGAAAAGGAGAGCCGCCGGCTGTTCCAGCAGATCATTTCAGCAGTAGACTACTGCCACAGACACATGGTAGTGCACCGAGACCTCAAGCCAGAAAATGTGCTCCTTGACGCACACATGAATGCCAAGATTGCTGACTTTGGTAAGTGCATCATAGCCCTAAACTGAAGCGTCTTAAAAGGTGATGTTATTATAATATGAAAAGTATGGACACAGTGGTAGAGGACTGTGATCAGTAACTCTAAGTTAAATATACTAGGTGAAATTTTTGACCTGATAATACAGATATGGAACAAATGTATTTATGAGCAGACGTAACCGATGGCTCATAAAAATGAATTGAAACAATCCAGGTTTCAGAAATCAACTTTGCACAAGTTTATGAGGAGGGAGGGAAGTTGTACAGCAGATGAATGTTTAAGTAAGGACTTGTGGTTTAATTTGAGGCCAGATTCAAAGTGGTACCAGCTATCAAACCTCAGTTCAAGCTTTGCACTGAAATATACATGTTAAATCTGTGGTAAGATGTGCATTTGAAATACATGTGTGTTACAGCAGTGTAAAATCTTGTGCAGGTTTGTCAAACATGATGTCAGATGGAGAGTTCCTGCGAACAAGCTGTGGTTCTCCAAACTATGCTGCTCCTGAGGTCATCTCAGGAAGGTATTGTTTTTCGCCATCATTAGACGCTGATATTTACCAAAAACCGTTATCCCATTACTGTATACTAGGGGATAGTGCTGAATTACCATAACCTAGTGAAACGATGCTTTCATGATTGTCCTCAGGTTATATGCTGGTCCAGAGGTGGATATCTGGAGCAGTGGGGTCATTCTTTATGCGCTGTTGTGTGGGACACTTCCCTTTGATGATGACCATGTGCCAACACTCTTTAAGAAGATCTGCGATGGGATGTTTTTCACCCCACAGTATCTGAACCCTTCAGTAATAAGCCTCCTTAAGCACATGCTGCAGGTGGACCCCATGAAAAGAGCCACGATCAAAGAGATCCGGTGAGCTGGACGAGATTAATTAGAGTCAAACTAGTGCTATAACCGTTATAGGGCAGATTGTCTTGAATATGTAAAAGCAGTCTTATTGATAGTGTTGTATTCATGGTCTGTGGTTTGTAACTCCCAAAATAATTCCTCCTTCCATAGAGAGGATGAATGGTTCAAACAGGACCTACCCAAGTACTTATTCCCTGAGGACCCCTCCTACAGCAACAACATGATTGATGATGAAGCCCTGAAAGAGGTGTGTGAGAAGTTTGAGTGTGCAGAGGAGGAGGTCCTGACCTGCATATATAGTCGCAACCATCAGGATCCATTGGCCGTTGCCTACCACCTCATCATTGACAATCGTCGCATCATGAGTGAAGCCAAGGATTTCTACCTGGCGACCAGCCCTCCTGACACTTTTCTAGACGACCAGCACCTAACCTCATCTGGTGCAGGTGTGTCTGGGATTATCAAGCCCCACCCTGAGCGTGTACCTTTCCTCGTGGCCGAGACTCCTCCCAGACCTCGCCACACATTGGATGAATTGAACCCTCAGAAGTCCAAGCACCAAGGTGTTAGAAGGGCCAAGTGGCACCTGGGTATCCGGAGTCAGAGTAGACCCAGTGATATCATGTCTGAAGTGTGCCGTGCCATGAAACAGTTGGATTATGAGTGGAAGGTAAGGAAGTATGTCCATCAGTGTGGCAGTTTTTGAACAGCAGTTAAAGTTGAGGTCATGTTAATCAAATGTAAATATGATACCAGAGTGTATTTAAGAATGTTGGCTTTATACAGTTATTCACCCTTTGTAACTCTTTTATTTTCCAGGTTGTAAATCCATATTATTTACGTGTGAGAAGGAAGAATCCTATTACTGGGATGCAAATCAAGATGAGCCTTCAACTATACCAGGTGGACAGCAGAACCTACCTCCTTGACTTCCGTAGCATAGACGGTAAGTTGTAATCACACAGGTCTGTGTCATTTTCTAAGATGTGTGTGTGAAAAACAGAAAAGTGGATTATTTTATTTACATTTTATCTATATTTACATGAGGTGACAGCACAGTAGTGTTGTCACCTAATGTTAGGTGTGTCATTTAATTTGACCTCATACCATTTAGTTTTGTTTATAACCTGATAAGACCTTGTGGTAAGCCCTGAATTCAGCTGTCTACTGTAGGTAGTGTTTCCCTGGATTCTGTCCTGTAGTATGCTTTCTCAGTGCAGACATCATAAATAATTGACTCAGGATTGAGGGCTCAGCTTTTATCGAGTCGGTGTAGGTGTGTAGCGGTCCCTCAAAGGAAAATCTGAGATAAGAGAGTGTGGATAAGAGCCATTAACGCAGGAGTGCTGTAAAAACGATATGAGGCTGCAGCAAAGTCAGCCATGGTGTTTATGTTTACCTGCACTTCTATCTGGCAGCATTAGGAAATGCAAGGTTGATTGAATTTGAAATTAAAATCAAAACTGATTGCTCAGAAATGCAGAATAATTTATAAGTGCTTGTTGAGATGTACAGTGCGTGTATTTATCCACATTTGTTTCACATTTCTGTCACTACTTCCCCACTATATATTAAATAACTCTTAGTGATATAATTAACGTGACCGACCCTGAGAAGTGACAGAAAATTGATTACCCGTTTTAAAAAAACCAAGACATTTGTAAATCAGTAGTTTTGAATACCTGTTTAAAGCATTTTTGATGGAACTTTTGGAACTTTTATTTCTGTAATGCTATTTTATCTTTACATGCTTGGAAAAATAAAATAAACTAAACAAAAAAAAAAACTGAATTTAGAGATACTTAAGATTTTTCAAGACTTGCAAACACCTTGGTTACAGGCATTGGTGTATAGTGAAATTAAAGGGATTTTTGCATGTGAGTTATGTAGAAAATATGTTGTGTGTTGTGTTATTCAGATGATATGGTGGAGACAAAATCTGGAACTGCTACCCCTCTCCGTTCTGGGTCTGTGGGTAACTACCGCACCACTATAAAGAATGATGTAGATTTGGCAGATGCTCCTGCTGCGTCTAGCACTGTGCACCCACCCAAGGCCGCAGACGGCTCCTTAACTTCATCGGTGACTTCATCCACCGACTCCACAGGAGGGGGAGACAATACGTCTGTCCCTCGACCAGGAAGCCACACCATTGAGTTCTTCGAGATGTGCGCAAATCTTATTAAACTTCTTGCACGATAGCTTGCAAAACAATCTTTAGCCTTTTTTCCTCTCCGAGTGTCTTTATAGCAATAAGCATGCAACCGATTCATGGCTCAATTCGTCCTGGCTGAGGATGAAGTGATTGCTCCATGGCACTGATGCAGGTTGGTGTTCCCTAAGCTGAAGGGATGTATACTGAGCTCACGGGGGAAGTAAGGGGTTATTTGGAAAGATGAATGACAAGCTATTTCATAGCTAGGACAGAACAATATACAGGAGGGGGGTTTACAATTTCCTCATCAATTTTAATAGCAAATTTTCACATTCCACCATATAATAGAAGTGATTACACTGAATTTTCTGTACTGTAGCCCATGAGCATTGCTTTCCGGTACAGAGAACAAGATCAAGTTTTTGCCTGCAATGATGGAAGCCACTGGTTAAGGATTGGATATTTGGGTGGCAGCCATATGGGATGCAGGAAGCACATTTGCACAAGTTTTCTTTTTTTCCTCCTGCTGCTTGTTATCCTCTTACTGGGGATCAGAGAAGGGGTGCGGCTGTATCAGGGCACAGCACTAGCTACAACTAGGGTTGTCATGCCCATCACATTTCATTGAACTCAAGAAGTGCAATGACCCCTGTATTTCTGCCTTGTGTCAGGGACGAAAGAATGCTTCTTCTTTTTTTTTTTTTTTGTTAATTGAGCTGTCCGAGACTAAATTTTCATGGTTTTGTTCTCATAAAACTGAATTTGTCTGCCCCTACATTTTTATGTATGACAAGAATATATTTATCAGTGTGTTGGTTCCAATGGAAAAGGAATTTGTTTTCTCTTTCATTAAGATCTAATGCTGGATGGTTTATAGTTTCCTTTTTTACTGTCTGTTTTCTAAATCAATATCACACTTTTATTTTCTTCAATCACAATTATTCCGATACTTGATTGTCTTTCCAAATAAATATAGCCTGCTTTTACCATGTAAGAGGTATTTTTGCCATGACAGTAAAAATCTAGAATACCATTTTCATTGTCACATATTAAAATGACAAGTTTTGACTTTTTTGTTGTATTTCCTCTACTTTGTTTTGATGAATTATTAGGATTTGAATATGATTACTGAGTGAAATGCCTTTTGCCTACATTTGATTTGTAAATGCAAGTTCATCACAAGTGTATAGGCCTCAGGGCTTAATTTGAAAATGAGTAGTAGCAGTAACATGCAATGTATGGACAATGTCTCTTAGCAGGTAAACACGTTCAAAATATTGTCATGTTTGCATATGTTTATGTTTTGATTGCTCACATTCCTTTGAAGGTGACCTTGAGAAAAGGTTTATGTATTTGTAAAACTGAAACAAGATTGTGTGCTTGCAATTGTAAAGCTGTGCTTTGACATTCTGATAAAAGAACATTTTACTTGCAAGCTCACAAAGTCATAGATATGTCTTTAATCCTAAGTATAATGTGTATCCCTTTTTCATGTCCACAGTCTTAAAGTTTTAAGTGGTGTGTCTTGTTTGGCTGCCTTATCATCATCAGTACAGTTAGACCATGTTTACTGTATGTCGGTATGTATGTAAGTTGGAATTCAGAATTATTGCCACCTTTTGCAATTTTAAGGACTAAAGTCCACTAATTATTTTGTTGTTGGGTTTTGTTAATGATAACACAGTTACAACAATTAAAACATCACAATTTGTTCTGAAAAAACAATCTTACGTTAACCATGATTACATTTTTGCCAAACTGTGGTAGACCTCAGTAACTGCTACCTTCTCTTTAATAATGACAACAGGAAAAAGAAATCAAAGTTTTAAAAAGTAAACTTGTTTCTCTTGTCATCAAATGTTTTATTTTAATGAGTGGTCTGAGGTTCCAGTATCTCCACAGCTGTAAAAATCTGTAATATCTCATTGGTATAAATCGTTTTACATTTCAGAGATGGACAACAAAAATTGCTAAAGAGTGCCAATAATTCTTTTTGCTGTCCTGCGGGGCAGGTTTGGACTGAAATATTTGACCTCCAGAAATTGTGATCATGGAAAGGAAACGCACAATGTTCTTGATATATTGTAAAACTAAACATTTAAATTGTAAAGGGCAGTTGCAGCTTCTGGTTACAAAACTTTTCATGGCTTACATGATGGTTTTTGTGGGAAAGATTGTGTGAAATCGTAACCTTTTGAGCTTATGGAGTAGTTATCTAGTCGACTGATTGCAGGCTAAGTTGGTCAGTCTATCTGTTTGAACTGCTTGAAAGAAAGATTATGTTTTTGTTTGGTGTGTAAAGGGACCCTAACAAATTGACCTATGTAAATCTGAATGGACAGTGTTGAAATCATTTGTATACACAACTGCCTAATAAACTGCTAAATTGCACACAGTTCTGCTGAAGCTTCTCTATATGCATCTAGTCTTTTCACTGCTTTGAAGAAAATGCAAGACTATAAATAATCGAATATGCAATTATCAAAATAATAATGAACTGATTAATTATTCAATGTACTAAACCTTGCAGCTTTATGCCAGGTATGTTAAGACATTGGCCCGAGTAATGTCTGTGATGCAATACCATAAAGTCGGAATGAACCGTCTTCAACGTTGCATTTCAGTACATTCCTGGGGGAAAAGACCAAACAAAAATTAATCTGTTTCTGGTGACTGACAAGGGCCGTATTCCGTTCAACTTTAAAAACACGGCTCGTGTTTCTTTAAGCGACATTGTAAACATTTCTGCAATTTCCGGGTCATGGTACATTTGCGAAATGCTGGCAGAATAGGAAAAGAAGATCATTAAGTGCGATTTGGGAGTGTCGTCTACGTCTACACCTTATTCCAAGGTTGTTAGCTCTCTTAACCTTTAAGTCACACCATATAAACAGCCTTTATTACCTACATTTTTTCTTAAGCTTTAAAAAAATGTATTATTTACTTACCTTTGTTGCGTTACGTATTTGTCGCAGTTAGTTACAAAGTGGAACCACAGTCAACAGTGTTGGCATAGTTCACATCAAATGAGTGATTTAGCTGTAACTGCCAGTGGTGGTGCATTTGCAGCGATTTCGCCGACATTTCTGTTCTTATCACCACGTCGGGAACATCGTCACTGTCAGAAACTCCATACACTGTATCTCCGACTCTTAGGCTGACATGAACGCTGCTCGAAATTTTCGATTTAAACGATACCACTTGAACGCAGCATAAAGGGCAAATCAATATGGCTAAATGTTAGCTTTCATAAGCTTGGTCTAGTATTGCTCACGGAAGGTTACTGAAGTCTGTTCGTATGTCTTCCCGTCGTAGTCTGTTAAAATAACAAATAGGAATGTGTTATTTACAAAACTAAATTAAGTGCATTTTTGTATGGCCAAACGTATTGAGTTGTCAAGAGGCTGCCAAGACAAGTGTTAGCTAAGTTAACAGCTAGCGAACGTTAATATTAGCTAGTTTTATTGCGACGCGGTGAATTTTTACTAACTAGTATTAGAGTTGTAGTTAGTTGTTAGATAACCAGCCATATGTTCTGTACTAAAATAAATGATACACCTAGCTAGCGGCTTGCCTGACTAAAATTCTGGTGTTTAAATGTAAAAGTCTGCCATCATAGATTGTCCTCTGCTGACTGCCACTGACATAGGATTTGTGCACATAAAGTTAGTGGCCGCCCGTACTAATCACCCTTCTCCAATTTTTCTGCAGGATGGCTTCATTTGGCTGGAAGAGGAAAGCTGGTGAGAGGGTGTCAAAGTCAGTGGTCCAGCAGTTTGAGGCTGAGGCGGAGAAGGCTGAGGAAGTTGATGAACAAACTCAGGATGAGAAGGTAGACTGGCTGCACGCCATCAAACGGCGACGCGAGGTCCTGCTGGAGGACTGTGGTGCCAAGAGCAAGAGGCTGAAGGATGAGGGTGCGCTGCTGGCTGAGCAAGGCAGGTGAGGGAAAGTGTTCAGAGTAGTTAGTTTTCTGTGCTTTCAGTGTGCACATCACACCACTACCTAACCCACAGAAACATCAGTTAAAGTCTTTATTAAATTGCATGTAAACAGAGGCAGATTAACTCTTCATATATTGTTGATAACATAGTTCTGTCGGTGGTGGAATTAGTTTTGGCTGATTATAATGGAGTAGTTTGAAAAAGTGTATTACGCTGTTGAATTGTACACATTGAATATTTGCACAGCTGTTGCTTTGACAAAAATTACTTGAGATGAACAAATACACTTTGTGTGCATGCTGCTATTTACTTTGAAGGGCATTTTACACACTCCATGGCAGTTTTATAGCGAGCAAGATTACACCATGAGTCGTCTTGCATTTTATGATACTGATGGCTTCCGGCATGTGATGTCCTCTGAATAGATTTAAGAAGTTGCGTGGTCAGTTACCGAGGATGTGCTGTTTAGAAATTCCCCACAAGAGGGCGCCATTGTACAGAGCACGGACTCATTTAACAGCTAAGAGGCTATTAACTGGTTTGCTAATTGTAAATATTGAATTCCAAAAGCACAGTCAACTTTATTCCATCTAAGCCTTCTGGTTTTCCCTTTGTTTGGTTGTATGTTTTCACACTTCAATAGCCAAAGAACTTATTTTTCAAAACCATTTAAAAAAAAAAAAAAAAACACAACAACAACTATAATTTCTGTTTTGGTTATGGAAGAAGCTTCTAGCCTGTCAACCTATATTTAACATTGTGTTAATAAAAATTTGGAGCACTTCAGTAAAAGCTTTTCAAACAAAAATGATATATGTGACCACACATCTGCTTCTACAGTTTTTTTCTGAGACCTCCTGAAATAAACTCTTGTGAAGAGTTAATGTTATGGGGAATAATGTTAACCAAGATTAATGATTTACATGGTATTTCTCTGCTTGTGTATAACAAGCACATTCAGTACTATGTGACAGTGGCAGATAAATCATTGAGTTGACAGTGTATGACTTTTCTATTTTTAATAGACAGAGAAGTTGGACAACAGACAGTAAGTAGTCTTCAGGATCGATCTGATATTTCTTCCATCATAATTGATTTTTTTAGCCAAATATCAATCACTTTGTGAAAACCCCCTCATTCAGATGATATAAAGGTTTGGCATTTAGTGACTGCGCGGAATTGTGCAGTATCTGCTAGAGGAAACCAGGGAAAGGTCATCTTACTGCTCCATAATGGCTGTTCAGAGTTTTGAGATGGTGTCTGGTTGAGGATATCAGATGTTTTTGATGTAGTTGAGGTGCTCCTCTACTACCTGTTTATGGCCTCAATCTCTTCTTAAATCACATTGTGTGCAGGTATGTGGGCTTATGAGGGTAGGAGTTGATACAACTTCTGGCCATTTTCTACAGTTTTACGATAAACAGATTTTGTTGTATATACATTTACTTAGTCACATAAAGGTAAAGCTTGACTTGATATTTTGTTGCTGACTGTTCCTGCAATGCAGAGTAGAGTCTGACATTGGATTTCTGAACATACAGAAATGACTTGTCATTGTTGCATGAATGGGCTGCTTGACACTTTTGTTCATGAAGTGCACAGATGCAAGGAATGTACAGTGTAGACTTTATATGTATTTGTAAATGTAGAGTTATTCTGGGCCACATCTTATTACTCCTGAACATTTGCAGTATAGTCTCAAAAACTCTGGCAAGGCTCATCAGGTGTTTGTAGGTTCTGCTAAAGATCGTAACAGTTCTCACCTTCATTCGGACATCAGCGTGAACACTTCCAAACTGGGAAACAAATCATGGCAATTGTGTTGAAAGCATTTCTTTAAAACTGGGGTCAAAAACAGGCAATGAAATAGTACGTTTATGCCTCATTTCATGAATGAATGGCTTCAAATTTACGTACTAACTGGGGTCAAAAACAGGCAATGAAATGGTAAGTTTATGCCTCATTTCATGTCTTGAATGGCTTCAAATTTACGTACTTTTATTCGGGAGGTGTGAAAACAAGCAGATCACAAGATCATTCAAATACTTCACGTAGTTTGCTGACATGTCCGGCTTACAGCCACCATGCTGAGTCAGCTTTGTCAGACTAAAACTGAGCTTGCAAGTTGTCCTCTGGCATTCATACAGTATTTGAAATGTTCACTATCCCCTGAAGGCTTTTTTTTGGTTTTTAAGTTTTGTGATTTACATTAGCCACTAGTCAGTTTACTGGTTTAGTGTTGTCATAACCACATGTTAGGGATGCTTCCTTCCTTTGGACAGCAGTGTGTGAAATGCTCATAATGATTCAATCCTAACAGTCTTTTCAGTGCAAAAAACACTCTCTAATTTCTAAGTTTGTTTCATATTTGTTCTGTCATTCTTGTTATAACAGCAGAGGTAATTTTTAGGCTTCATGTCATGTATTACTTATTGCTTAATTTCCTCATATGAGTTTTCAATGTCCTTTGCTTCATCTGTTGGTAAGATTTCCACACCGCTCTAGTTCCCTTTTCCCACTCCTCTCTGTTACTATAACAAGCCAGAAGTATATGTTTTGCCAGCCTTCATTCTGGTTCTGCCTCTAATCTGAACTCAGGTTTATAAATACCCAGTATTAATCATCTTTTTTTGTGTTTGTAATTGCTTAGACTTTTTCATTATGTCTGTTTTTCATAAAGCTTTAAAAGATGTAGACATAAGTCATATTGAAATTATTCTTGAGTTAGTAATGAGTTTAGGAGGAAAGGGTCCATGTGACCAAAGAATTGTAAACCCTCCTAAACAAATCTATTCAAAACACATTAGTAGAGCTGACAGTTGCTTGGAGTGAAGCAGCAGTGGCACTTAATGTGAAATCCGCCCAGTTTTTATGCAAATCCTGTTTGAGTAGTTTTGAATAGTAGTCAATGTCAGCACCTTGCCAGCTCAGATAAAAACCTGGGGAGAGCTTAATTTTTCAACTGTTTACTGTGTTTATTTAACCTGCTGGAGCATTTGCATACTCTGTGCTGCCATGCTATCAGACAGGTGTTGTGGTCGTTGGTAGCTTTATAGCCTCAAGAAGCCCTGTGTTGCCATTTCTTTTTTTTCTTTATATTAACAAGCCAAAAGCAGTTTTTATTATAGCCTTGAGAAGAAACGAGTGAAAATGCACAGAAAGCATGGGAAAGGTGATGGTAAACATTCACTGAAACATGACTCAATTATGTTTCTAGTAAAAGTCTCTTGGTCTCAGCTTTTGAGAAATTGCATGCAACAATGGAAGCACGTGGTCAAGGAAGCTTTCCAATGATACAAGTTACTTCTCTATAAAATATGAGGGTGGAGACAGTTAAACGAGGTGTCTGTTTTCACTGATTGTCTGTTTGAGTCAATCATCAATGAAGGCCAGAAATAAATCTCAGTAAATCTCAGTAAAGTCAACACAAAACCACAGTTGATGTGAGTAATACAACATATCTGTGTAGGGCATTGGTGGTTTTAGCACTGGTAATCGTATAAATCATAACCAACAATCATGCACTATAAAAAAATTCAAATACCTACTGTAGCTAGTTACTCGCACTGCACAGCTTTCCCAGAAGGCATCTGTACCAGATGTTGAATCACAGTGTGTGTTTGAATCATTTGTGTTTTTAAGGCACTGGGAAGCCATTAAGAAGTGGGATGAGGCCATTCACCTGACTCCAGACGACCCACTACTATACGAGATGAAGTCTCAGGTATATTATAAATTATATTTTACTATTTACTCATTTTTTTCAACATAACTTTAACAGCCACCTTAAAAAAAAGTACTGAACCATTATGTTTCTATAGCAGTGTCGGGCTCATGATTGACAGTTTAAAAAAAAAAATCAAAACTGATAGAGCAGAACCAGAGAATTGTTTTTCCTAGGCAAAACCTGGTGCCTGCATTACCCATAATGCAATTTGACCCAACAGTTGGGTCAGAACTTTGAGTGTTTTATGGTAGTAGTGGCTTTAATCACATGGCAGATACACAGCATGTTTCTGCTGTTTTCTGCTACAATACAGTGTCTTAAATGTCACGCAGCTGCCGTCAGAGTTTGGTTTACATCTCAGTAGGACAACACTGTATATGTAACAGGTATTTCCATTCATGTCCTGTCACCTGGGAATGCTACTGACCACAGCTTACTGTATGTGCACTTCTGCACAGCCCTACTCATGTACTGCTTGTATTCATGTGATTGTTTATCAGCCATGCTGGCCTCATACTGCAGACCCTCTTTCAGCTGCTGTCTTGGTGCATGTTTTGGTCAGACAAGTGATATCAGCATCACAGTTATAATGCAGTCGCCTTTTTCCTCTCTTCTCATGTTCACTGTCTTCCTTTGAGTTGATACCTGAGTCTTTCTGTGTCTCATGTTCTTTTGGCTGCCATGTCTTCTTCTAACAGGCATCTTTGGGGAAAAAAATGTGTCCCCATAAACATTTGTGGAAACGGTGAAGAAGCCGGAGGAGGTAGTCGGGCAAACAGAGCTCTCTCCGTTATGTCTTATTGATTTACTGCAGCTAACGCAAAAAGCCAATCCTTATAACCATAACCGTTCATATCAAATGGAGGATTGCATGCCTAATAAGATATTATCCATTATAGGATATTTGAGAAGGAAATTGTTCAAGCCTGGATAAAAACCACCACAAAAGTAATTATTATTATTCTATTGTTACCCGATGCCATGGCATGCCATTGACTGAATTTTGCTTAGATTCAGCTCATATGTGTGTGTTTACACTTGCATGGCACATTTAAACTATTTAGTCCATTATCAGTGTTGATGTTACTCACAATCATTAAGCTGAAGAAAGGCTGGACCTCATCACGTCCCCATTACTGACCAGGATGACGACCGTGGTTACACTGACGCTGGTCATTTACTTCCCCTCATCACTTTTCTTCCTCTTTAACTCGATCAGCTTTTGCCTAATACTGTACATCTAGCCTGCTGTCTGTCTGCATGTCTGCCACAGTAGACCTTAGTGTGCTCTGGAGGAAATTGACTCCATTTGTAAAGCTGTAACCACATTACCCAGGCTATACGAATGGTTTCAGCATAAACAGGAGCTTGCTGAGGACAAGAAGTGTCTCTTTCAGTCTAAAAGTCACGAGGTCATTTGAGTCCTGGAAGTTAAAAGGGCTTTCCCAATGGACCTTTCTTACCATATTCCACTGTGATGTCTGCCTCTAGTATGATTTTTATTGAATTATTTTAATGTAGTAAAATATGGTTGCTAATTGAAGGAAATAAATACATATTTTGTACTTGGACTCAGTGCTCCTTGAATATTAATAGTTTTATAGACATCACTATCTGGTTTTCATTGTTGACAGACAGACAAATATGGGTATTTGTAGCTTATCACTGGATGCGCCTGTGTATCAAGTATAATTGTTAAGATGGCAAAGCTTCTACCAAGATGCTAGACCTGGTTTGGGTGCAGTG